CATAATAAAGACCATTACACAACCATTATTTTATGTCCACATTACTAATAAAACTGATAGAATATATAATTTAGGTTGATCCTTGCTATCCATTTGAAAAATCTTTTCATTTTTTACTTTGTCATCAAATTAATATGAATCCCAGATGAACTCGTGCTGTCCTGTTACAATTCCTTTCACAAACTGCAACGAGTGAAGGAAGATCTGAAAAAGAAAGCAATTCATGAGGTCTTTGGCTTAGTTTGAGCCCTGAAGACAACTGGTACCCTCAGATTTCATTTTTTTTTCTTTGTTTTCCTGGGTTTTATTTTATTTTTACTTTTGCTGCTGTTCACCAAGTTTGTTGGAGGCTACATCCCCAGTATTAGGTTGTGTCCTGGATTCAGCAGTAGCAGTCATTTTTCTCCTTCTTAGTAGCTGGTGCAGTGCTGTGGTTTTGACTTTCAGCCTGGGAACAACGCTGATAACACCGATGTTTTTTTAGTTGCTGCTCAGTAATGTTTACTCTGACCAAGGACCTTCTGAGTCTCATGCTCTGCCAGGGAGGAGGGGAATCTGGGAGGAAGCAGAGACAGGACACCTGACCCAAACTAACCAAAGAGGTATTCCATACCACAGCACGTCATGCCCACTATATAAACTGGGGGAAGTTACCTGGAAGTGCAAGATTGCAAGATCACTGCTCAGATCTAGCGGGGCATCGGACGCAAGGTAGTAAGGTTTTGTATTCTCTTCCCTTGTTATTTCCTTGTCATTATTATTACTGGTGGTAGCAGCAGTGATTTGTGTTATACCTTAGTTACTGGACTGCTCTTATCTCAACCCATGGGAGTTACATTCTTTCAGTTCTCCTCCCCATCCCTCTGGGAGCGGGGGGAGGAAGGGGGGGAAGTGAGCAAGCAGCTGCATGGTTCTGGGTTGCTGGCTGAGCTTAAACCATGACAGGTTGCTAGACATTTTTTTTTTCTCTGTAAGATTTTGTTGCTATCCCTAGAATCTCATCTCTCAAATCATCAGTATTTGTTCTAGAATCACTTATTTCATACTCTTGTTTAGTTGATGCAAAAGGTTCTGCATTATCATCACACAAGTATGAATGCAAATCTTTCCTTCTTGGGTGATATTTTAAAATCTTTCACTGATCTGTAAAGCCTACTCTGTCACAATCACTTTCTTGCTCAGCTGAAATAAGTTTGTGTTATAATACTATTAACCCAAATACTACTAGTTTTTTAATAGTGCACATGTGGAAATATGGTAGGTATGTTATCCTTTCCATCTTCCCCCAGGGCATAAGATGGAGCATTCAACCCCAGTGTGTGATGTTTTGCTGTCTCTATATATGTGAGTGAAAGAGTTTTCAGCTATAATGATGTCATTCCAGTAAAATAATGTGCTTGAGTTTGTTTTGTTAAAATAGAAATGAAACATGTATACACAGTCTTTTCCAGAGTATCAAGATGTTTAACTCCTTTTATTAGCAGAGACATAAGTTTTCCAGTAGCAGCATATTCTGTGCATATTCAATCTGCCCTTAAGTCTCTTTGTTTCAGGAGACAACAGACTGCAGGGTAGATTAAAGCCAACACTGTATATACAGCTTTAGTTTTTTTTCATTCTTGCAATTTTTTTTTTCATAGCAATTTAACATTTGTAAGTATTTTGCAAAAAATTATTTCATTGTGATCATTTAATATGAATGTGATATCCTGGTTTTAAAGAAAAAATACTTTCTTTAAAGAAAAAAGACTATTTTTGTCAGCGTAAAATTCCAGATGAAACAATCACACTTCAGAGTAGAATTGGAAAAATTTTTAATTTTTTTCACAATTGCTATCATGTAGCAGTGAAAAAATTCAAAGCGGGTAAGCTGATTCCTGCTTTTTATTTTTTCCTGGTTTATAAATTACTTAAGCACATGCAGAGTTATAGGCATATTTTTTTGCATTAATGGCAAGTTTTCATCAAAAGAGTGAACCTGAAGTGAAAGGCAAGACCATATTTTCAATTTCCAAAATACAATCAGGAAAGAATAAGAAATGATGATCTGGGGGGAAAAAAAAAAAAAAGAAAAGAAAAAAAAAGAAAAAGTGAAAAGAGCCTATGAAATATCCACACTTCTGCAGTTGTGGAACTTGGTGTGTGATAAATACATTGAAAGTAAACAAGGATGCAAAAAACTCTCCATAAAATATATTAAAATAACTATCTGCTTATCCGTGTTAATAACCTCATAAACTCATATTCAACAGTAAGTTTGTGTATTGAATATAGGAGGAAAAAAAATTGAAAGTTTCTCCTTTCAAAGGAAAGGTGAAAAGTAAAACTATGACTTAATGTGCCTTGTCTAGCCCAGCATTCCTTTAATATCTTGTTTTATATGTATCAGGTATAAAAACATGGAAATAATATGTCCTAATTTTAGCCATCTGAATCTTAACTCAGTAGATTGTTTAGTGTCACTGTATGTATAGGAAAATGAAAGAGTTCATCACATGTGTTTCAGGATGGCAAAAATCAACTTTACAAAGAATGAAATATATTAATTACTTGAAAAGAAGCTTAAGCAGCTACATCAGATCAAGCACGATATTCAGCTTCAGCCTGTTGACATCTAGATTCAGATGTTTAAGTCTTTGGGTTTAACTTTCAGGTAGGCAAGAGCAACTATTGCTTGAAGGATAATGGAGTTCTTCCCTCCGATTACTATAAAACCTGCAGTGTGTGTATGTATACAATATAACTATGTTTTATGTGTGATATTGTTCTCTTAAACCTCATTCCACATGTGCATAAACTCACAGATAAAAAGACACTCAAACATACAGCTATGCTCTTTATTTTTTTGTGTGTTGGAATACCCATCCTCTAATAAGCATTAAAGCTGCCCCTGAAACAAGATATCCCACCACAAAACCAGAAATGAGCTCACTACATTTAACTGATTCTTACAATCCCTTCAGTTTACGGTATGTCTAAAATGACCCAAATGACCCATTGACTATATCAATCTAATCAAGTGATCAATTGGCTGGAGATGTCATTGACACTTAATTCACATATAAACATTTTAAATATCTTAATCCCACCACATAGGATAAATATTCTGGATATAAATCTCTATTGTCTTTCTAAGTGATGTATACCATTAGGCATCTTCATGACAAACTAGAATATATGACACTCACAAACCTGGTAATTGCAGTGATTATAGCAGAATTATGTCAGGTTATGTGATAAAAGCTCAACAGCACACTTAGGAGCAAAGAGAGTAAATGGTGGTGATGTTTTTTTTTGAGAAATCCAAACAGTACTCTGCCCCTTCTTCTCCCAGACCATTACAGGGTCCATCAGCCCTTTAAAGACCCATCTCCACAAGCACAAAGGAGCACAGGAGGTTTGAATGTCAGGTAGGAACCTAAAGTAAGGACTCAGAGGTGAGTACCCTGTTCGGGCCCCTCTCATGCCTGTTAAAGGATAGCTTCAGCCCCAGTAAACAAGTCTAAAATACTCTGACTCAATTCCAGCACGTGTCCAGGACACATTTTGAGCTGATGGTGGTTGCTGCCAAGAGTATGGGATACGTTAAGAAGGATAAAAAGGGTTGAATATACTCTAACAGTTTGCTGGTTGGTATGCTTGTCTGGCTATGTCCTGTGCCTGATCAGCACAGTCTGTCCAGTCTTCTTCATTAACTCTTTTCTAACTCATTCCTAAGTCATTCCTGCTTGGTGTGCCATGTGTATGTTGGTGTGCCATGTGTATGTATGGGGGCCTGGAGGCCAGCCACCTGAATCAGAATGTGTGCCTGTGATGACAGGAGCTAAAAAGACCAGAAGAAGTGGACTTAAGTGGCAATAACTGGAGCGGGACCTGGGGTCACAGGGATCCAGCGTTTGTGGTGCAGTACAAGGAGTGAGTGAGGGGCTGGTTTCCAGCTGCTGGATGGGGTTGGTGGGCTGAAGGTACCAGATTGAGTGAAACAAAATGTGTGTTTCTCTGAGAAATAGAACATGGGAGGAGCTGGCTATTGGGGGATCATGGTGCCCGGAAGAGGTCACCCTGGCATGTGTTCTCCACAGTGTCTAATGGTGCAAGCACAGAGGAGCTGGCTACTGGAAACTAGGGGAGGAAGGTAAGGCTGCTGGCACTGCCTGTGTTTGTGTGATTGCTCTGTGTGTTTTTCTGTGATTTGGCATGCACAGATGCATGTACAGGTGCATGTATGTCTATGTAGAGTTTTCTGTGTATGCTCCACACACATATACATGGTTAGCCTAGTTACAGGCTGGACATAGGGGAATGAAGCTATGGCAGCCTTGCTTCTTTCAGGCTCTCATATTAGGCAGAAATGTTTCCTCTAAACAAATTTAATCCACTATAATCTGTAGATCACAGTAGAATTCAAATCACAACTTCAATCATGATTTAGCCAGTGATGAATATTTTCACTTAGGCTATTTGTCATATGTTGGTATATGGACATAGTATTGAAGCCTAATGAATTTATTTAGAATCACAGAATCATAGAATAGTTAGGGTTGGAAAGGACCTTAAGATAATCTAATTCCAACCCCCCTGCCATGGGCAGGGACACCTTACACTAAACCATGTCACCCAAGGCTTCATGCAACCTGGCCTTGAACACCACCAGGGATGGAGCATTCACAACTTCCCTGGGCAACCTATTCCAGTGCCTCACCACCCTAACAGGAAAGAATTTCTTCCTTATACCCAATTTAAATGTCCCCTCTTTAAGTTTTAACCCATTACCCCTTGTGCTATCACTACAGTCCCTAATGAAGAGTCCCTTCCCAGAATCCTTATAAGCCCCCTTCAGATACTTGGAGGCTGCTATGAGGTCTCCACGCGGCCTTCTCTTCTCCAGGCTGAACAGCCCCACGGCTGCACTTCCCTGCACAGAAGTCCGGGTCAGCTGGGAAAGGCTGTTTGAGCCCTCATCAGCCCCCTTGGTGAAACCAGTGGTTTGCTGTGTGCAGGTGACTCAGGTTGTTGAGTTCCTCATTGACCACTATGAGGAACTCTTTGGAGAGCAGGTGGCTGGGCTGGCCAGTGAGGGGGATGAAGAGACACTAGCACCACAAGCAGAGCTGGAATACATTGTGCAGACTGCCTGCAGTTCTCAGTGTTGCTTCGATGCCTTTCTGAATTTTCTTTACCATTTCTATACAGACATAAAGTTTCAAATGCATACATGGCCAGTCTCTGTGTTTGAATGAGTCTGCTCCCTTTTTATTCCTCTCTCCATCTCTGGGTTTCCCTTCTCTCTCTCTGATACTTACCTGTCCAAGGAGACAAAAAGGTCATGCAATGGTTGCATTTGTGTAAGACTTTTCTTTCTCCCAGGAACTTTTTGTTTTTCCTCCTAAAACACCTGAGGAGACATTTGCATCCAAGAAAAGGTCTTGACAAGGAAAGAACTTGAGTATGTTGCTGCTGCTTCTAATCTGAGAAACAAAAGCACTGCTTTTGCCCAGAAGGCCACGGGTCAGTATTTGTGTGATCTGGCTATGCTTTCATTCCATCTTTCTTCACATTCAGTACCAAAGCCCCAAATCTCCTGGCCACGTTGCCATACCACAGACTCTCTTAGGAAGAGAATAATTTAAAGAGTGTAGGGAGCTTCTGCTTATGGAAAAGAGATTATTTTTTGTCACCTGTGAATGCTCCATCCCTGGCGGTGTTCAAGGCCAAGTTGGACAGAGCTTAGGGCGACATGATTTAGTGTGAGGTATCTCTGCCTATGGTAGGGATATTGGAACTTGATGATCTTAAGGTCCTTTCCAACCCTGTCCATTGTATGATCCTATGAAAAAAAAGTGAATATATGGTACTGAGTCTGATCTTTTAGAAATAAATAAGGTATTTCAAGAATTCAGTGGCCAGTCAGACCTTTTTTTAAACATTAGATTTTCTTAGGAATTTTCCAATGACTGTTTCTTTCATTATATCACACTGACATACCAAGTCAGAAAATATTTATAGGAATATGTATTTTATATAAAAAGATATTGGAAACCATTTTTTTAATAAAATGAATTATCTGGGGATAATAGAGAGACAGGGACAGACTGACTCCAAAAAGCCAACTGTTATTGGACAACCGCTTTCAGGAGGGATGTAGAATATTAAATCTACCCTAACCACTTAGCTAAAGAATCATATTCTAGTTCAATTTCATATCCAGTTAATAATTTAAGTGGACAGGCATCAGAGTCTCTATAAAATCTCTATAAAAACCATAGGTTGAAGATCAAGCTGTTCAGTTAGTGTATAACATTTCAAGGCTTCTCATTCATAAGGCAAATCAAAAGTGGTAGCAGTGTCTCCTGGACTATGGATTATTAAAATGAGAGTCCAAGGCCTTATCCATGCCTCAAGACCAGCTGTCACTACCTTGATGAGATAATTGCTACACAGGGCTTCCTAAATACCTTATCCATTTATCCTGAAGAGAGCTAGGCAGTGTTGTCCAAAATAGAGTGAGGAAGTGAGACAATAATCAAACACTATAGGCAACCAGGTTTAGCTCACTCGTTATGTTTAATAGTACAGATATGCCTTGTTAGCCAGAGAAACCTAAGGGTTTTGTGTTGTTGACTCTTAATTGGCATGCATGTTTATATGACTCTATATAAGGTAAAGAACTCTTGTGCATCTAACAAACACTGAATACAGTATGAATTTGTAGCCTTTTGTGTTCCTGATGGATTTTTGAAATGGAAAGTATTTTCTTCTTTTTACCTTAGTTGATTATCCTTTATCACCTTCATGCATTTTTCTCCATGTTTATGTAAAAGAGAATATTGGCTTCTATTTCACAACAGTAAGTGAAACCAGGACACTTAAATAATTACGAAACCATTCATTTGTAAAAAGCCAAATGTCATACTATGTTTAGCAAAGAATCAGTATTTCTCAGAATTTGCTATCTGCTCCTACGTTTTTATACCTTTTGCCACATAACTGATACCATCTTTATTAACTTAATCATTCATCCTTTCCACAAGAGTTATGATTGGATGGAAAACCATAAGAAGGAGTTTTGGGGAGGGAGGCTTCTTACTTTTCCTCTAGCCATGCTCACAACTGCATGGACTAGTAGAGAGGAAGAGAGTTGTGTTTACTTTTCATTCCCCATGAACTTCAGAACTAGATTCCTTTGGGACAACATCTATTTGTGAAGTCTAGCATACACTGTCACGAGATAAAACAATTACTTAATCAAGAAATTTGTCTATAACAGTCATCTAGAAGTTCTTATTTCTCAGTCTGAACAAAACATTGTCAAATAAATTTCTTTGCAGTGGGATTAATCTTATTCTGAGAAAGGTGTCTACATTTGAACACAGAACTTGTGCTGCGAGGCTGCCTGATTCTCTCCATTGAATATGAAAGAAATTGCAGGAAGAACCTTTATATTTAAATCTTTTTTTTCCCAGAGAAAAGTCACATTTCAAGTACACATGAACATTTAATTGAAATGTCAAGTTTTTATGGCAGAAAATATAAGTGTGGGGTTTAAGAACAACTTAGAGAGAAGAGGAATTGAACTTTTGAACATTATGTATTTTATATATATGCATTCATACATATATATATACTTATATCTCCTGACTAATCTAGTGGTTTATGATGGAGTGACCACATTGGTGGACAAGAAAAATGCTAAGGATATCGTCTACCTGGATTTTGTAAGACCTTTGATACAGTCCCACACAATATTATTTCTGCTATATTGAATAGATATGTCTTTAGTTGATGGACTGTTTGATGGGTAAGCAAATGGCTGGTTAGCTGCATCAAAAGAGCAGCAGTCCGCAGCTCAATGTCCGAATGAAGATCAATAACAAGTGGTGTCCCTCAGGGCTCTATGCCCTGGTATCTTTATCAATAACATGGGCAGCGGGACTGAGTGAAAGTTTGCAGGCAACACCAAGCTGACTGATGCAGGTGATTCACTAGAGGGAAGGTGTAGCATTCAGAAGGACCTTGATAGGTTTGAGAAATGAGCTTGTGTGAACCTCATGAATTTCAACAAGACCAAGTGACAGGCCCTGCACCTGGGTTAGTGCAGTGTTTTAAAGAGAGTAGGTTAAAGTTAGGTATAAGGCAGAAATTGTTTATGATCAAGGGTGTGAGAACAGGATTCCCAGAGAGGTTTTGGATGCCCCACCACTGGAAGCGTTCACAGTCAGGATAGACAGGGATCTGAGCAATTTGATCCAGAGAAAATGTTCCTGCCCACGGCAGGAGGGTTGGACTAGATTATCTTTAAAGGCCCCTTCCAAATCAAACCATTCTATAATTTGGACACCAATGTGACGCATCACAGAGTAGGAGACTACATGCAATCCATGTGCCTTAGCTCTTTAGCTCTTGAGCTCTACAGGTAATAAGATCTAGTCAACAAGGCAGTCGTCAACACCGATAATAATTAAACAGTATATTTAAAAGTAATTGGAAATCTGAGCCCCTACATTGCCTTTTGTTCATTTGACCTTGTCTGAAAGTGTGTCATTCAAATGTAGGTATTCGAGGCTTAAATGCAAGCATACAAAGCTGGTGAGATGAACTTATCAGCTCCCCTAACCTGAGGCTCCTACTGCCTAGTGTGAGATTTGTACTGCTAAGAGGGTATGCGTATTGTCTTGAAATATGTGTTTCTGTAAGAGCTGAGTGAATACCTATATGCCAAATTTGAGAAAAGACATTTCTACTGTTTTGGCTTCCTTATATTTTTTTTTTAATTAAAGTTTTAGTTCAGATCCACTTCTTATCCAAAAAAATTAAGTGTTTTATTTTCACTGGTTTTAATTAGTTTAGTGAAAAAATTTTGAAAGCTAACATCAACCTACAATTTTATTTTCTTATCAGCATTTTTCAATAAAATCTCATTGAAAAAGGATTCAATTTTATCTTTTTGACAGGCTAGGCACATTTCAAACAGAATAGATGTAAGATACATGAAAAGCCGCAATACTACACTTACAGCAATACTGTGTTTCCTTTGAAACAAGATACGTGATAGAAGGCTACACTGACAAAAAAAAAATAAAAAAAAAATAAAAAAAAAAAAAGGAGGAGAGTAGAGTAGAAATTTACTAAGAAAAGTAAGAAGATGATGGACCACATATTACCCACAGGTCAAGAACTGTCAAATCGGTATTAGCAGCTGAAATTAAATACAAGTGGGCATGAATCTGTCCCAGGAGCTACCAGTGCCAAAAGGCATCTCAGAAAGAAATCCACACTAACACTATAGCAGTTACTTTTTCCACTGACCTTGACAAAATGCACTATTTGCACTGTCTACACAAGATTATAATTTCAGGAAAACAGAAAGGATTACTTGTGACTCTCAGTATTACAAATCAGGGAGCAGGAACACTATTGAAAAGTTCCATCACATTGTGTCTTTAATGCCCCCTTATATCTCATTAATACTGGGGGTGGGAGGAAAGGGAGCAAATTCCAAATCTACTACTGATGAAAGTATATATAATATTGCACAAAATTCTGGATGTTAAAAACAATTCAAAATTGTCCCAGATTAATTAAACCAGACTTTGTACGTGAGCCACTGTGCTAATATGTATTTTAAGTTTTAGTTCATCCCTCAAATATCAATCGTTGAATTAACATTATATCATTGTCCCACACCTATTCTGCTAGAGAATGTTCTGTGATATTAGGTAGTAGCGCATGAAATAAAGATATTATCAGATTCCAGGGAGTAAATATTAAAGTGTATAATATTTATACATGTTAATAAATAAAAAAAATGCAACTACCCATACTGCCATGTAAATTATCTGTATAAACTAATCACATTGCATTCCTGTTCACCTCTTGCAAATCAAAAAGCAGAAAACAAGTACTGTTAAAAATCCTGTCCTGTAACTCACAGCCTACATGGTCTTCAAAACATCCCAGTAAAAATTATAGGGAATTGCCTACACAGCACTGTTGTGGTTTAAGCCCAGGTGGCAACCCAGAAAACACTCAGCCATTTGTTCACTCCCCCTGCTTCCTTCCCCTGCTCCCGGAGGGATGGGGAGGAGAATACAAAGAATGTAACTCCCACGGATTGATATAAGAACAGTCCAGTAGCTGAGGTATAACAAAAAAACACTACTCCTACCACCAGTAATAATAATGATAAGGGAAATAAGAAGAGAAGAGAATACAACCGCTCACCACCCGCCAACCGATGCCC